AAGGTTTTTTTTTTTTAGATATTTTTAATATTTATTTATTTTTTTTAGTTTTCAGTGGATACAACATCTTTATTTTATTTTTATGTGGTGCTGAGGATCAAACCCAGCGCTCCTCGCATGCCAGGTGAGCATGCTACCACTTGAGCCACATTCCCAGCCTAGAGATTATTTTTTAAAAAATATATTATTTTTTTAGTTGTTGATGGACCTTTATTTTATTTATTTATATGTGGTGCTGAGAATCGAATCCAGTGCCTCCCATATGCCAGGCAAGCGCTTTACCACTGAGCTATAACCCCAGCCCTAAAGGTTATTTTAAAATCAACAAAACCCTGCATTTATCCAGAAAGAATTATATGTCACATATTATTGCCTACATTAAAAGTGAAAATACATAGAAAAATTTAAATTCCAGTGGCTAATATTCAATTACTTTAATTTAATAATAAAAACTACCAATTGACAAAAACCTATCCTTGTCTCTTCAGCTACCTCTAAATTATATCCTAGAGAAAACGTGACTGAAGAGAACCGTATAGATTTGGATTTTAAACAAAATAAATAGAAAGCCCTTTAAAAAGGACAAAGTAATCCAGTTTGTTGCAAAGCAAATGTATACAATGAGGGGAACTTACTCTTACAAGGAGGCACCATCTCTGTTAAGAACAAAGATCCTAATCATGGCCTCCAATATTCGAATGCTCTTAGTCCTTTCCCATTTTCTCCATTTCAGTGCCTAACTTCCTTCAATTTCCCAAGATAAATTTGCTTTAGTTCCAAGGTAAATTTAAACAGGAAGTAAGATTAAAAACAAAACAGAACAATTTTTAAAAACCCAGCTTTAGAAGAACACTATCAGCCCAGTGCTAACACCTGCACTTCTAAAGGAGGATTTCCTCTGTCAACAGTGCTATCAGATTGGTTGGCAACAATGCTGCTGCGCCTGAGAGCTGTACCTTAGTCCTCCTTCTTATTTCCAGTGAATTAATTATCCCTAGCATACTAGTCTTTGCCTGAGACTGGAAGCCAGCCCTGAAACCTCAGTGTGGGAATTTAGCCTCAACATCTATGATTAGGTCATGTTACTTCTGTATCAAGTGCCAAAAGAATAGGAAAAAACCCTTCTTTTGTGGAGGCTGACTGACTGGCACAATTGACCTCTAAGTCGTGTCCTTCTAAGTTCTTCATTGCTCTGCCCTACACATGCCAGACCACCCTAATAGCTCCTTGGGTAGTCTCCCTGGAGGTCACCAATTCCTGGTGGTCCCAACCCCTTGTCTAGAATGTGACTAGATTCATGACACCACCTGGCACAGTTCCTTGCTTTCCTAGCTAAACCCTCTTCATCTAACTTGTTCTGCTGTGAATCATGGGAGAAGTGATATCTTTTGGGAAGAYTGCTTAGTGTCAAGTTTGAAGTACTGTTTCAACTATATCTGAAAACCGTGCTGATTTTATGTGGTAACTACAAGACACATGACAATTAAGCACTTGAAATGTAGCTGGTTGAAAATAGGTTCTCTAAGTGTAAAATATATACTGAATCAGGAAAAGAAAGAAAGAAGAGAGAACTCTCAAGTTTTAAACAAAATGGGATGAGTGGAGGAAGGACTAGAGGGTAGAAAGCAGAGAGGGAAGGGGGAAGTGCTGAGGAGTGATACTGGTCAAATTATATTTTTATATTGTGTGCATATACAAATATGTAAAAGCAAAAAAAATGTTTAAAAAATAAAAATACTGATTAAATACTGAAATGATCACATACTGGCTATATATGTTATATTATCAAATTTAATTTTCTCTATTTATTTTTACTTTTTGAAATGTGGCTACTAGAAAATTTAAAATTACATATACTATTTGCATTATATTTTTCCTAGACTGTGTTTGCCTTGGGTCTTATGACAGTGGCAACAGCAGAGTCTATTTTGAGGGCTGGGGTTGTAACTCAGTGGTAGAGTGCTTGCCTAGCAGTGGGTTTGATCCACAGCACCACATAAAAATAAGTAAATTTTAAAAATTAAAAAAATATATTAAAAAAAGAAGTTAGGATTTGAACCCAAACTGTTCTTTCACCTACTCTGTCTCCCATCCCTGGGCCTCCCTGACTCCACACCAAAAACAACAAAAATGAATCTATTTTGAGAGGTTTGCTTGTGTATGTAGATATTAGAAAATATCTGAAAAATGAAAGCTCTTCTTTATAGAAAAACTCTCAAGCTAATAAATGCTGAAGGAATGATAGATTATCTCATTTTACAACCTCCACTGGAAGAAGTAATTTAGAAAAGGATCATGAAGGAATGCTAAAACCACCAATAAAAGGCTGTTGCAGAAAAGGATGTTCACCCAGTGGCAGAATGTTGCCCTAGAAGGCTGAGGATGTGTCTCAGTAGTAAAGCACTTGCTTAGCACGAATGAGGCATGGGGTTGAATCCCAAGCACTGCAACAAACAAGAAATGTCATCCTAAAGATTGTTTATAAACTGTAAGATGAAGATCTGATGGTCCCCACCTTAACGGGAAATGGTCAAGCTTAACATATGGGCAGTGTTATAACTTAACATCACAGACCTTGTGATAAGTGACTACATGAGGTATCTAAATACTGAGAAAATTTCAAATATACATCAATACAATTTTGTAAGTGAAAATCATACTCATTTTCACCTAATCATTTTACTATACTGACTTCATCATGTATCTATCAATTTCTCTGTCAATCTGTTTTATTTTTTAATGTGTTTCAATATAAATTGCCATCATTAGTACAGCCCTSCCCCCATAATCTATGAAGTACTTTTGACCAAAATATCCAACCTGAATCTAACAAAGTCTTTAATTCTAACTTCCAGTGTATAGGAAATACAGAAGATAAAGAAAAAAGTTATTTAGTGATGAAAATATATAGTTCAGAAAAACTGCAAACTTGAGATATTCTGTGGTTATAAGGCTTAAAAAAATTTATGTCATAAAAAAAGTTTGCCCATGGGCTGGGGATGTGGCTCAAGCGGTAACGAGGTCGTCTGGCATGCACGGGGTGCTGGGTTCGATCCTCAGCACCACATAAAAAATAAAATAAAAACGAAGTTTGCCTTCAATAGATGAATAAATAAAAAAAATGTGGTATACACACACAATGGAATATTACTCAGGAATAAAAGAGAATAAAATCATGGGATCTGCATGTAAATGGATAAAGTTGGAGAATATAATGCTAAGTGAAGTTAGCCAATCCCAAAAAACCAAATGCCGAATGTTTTCTCTGATATAAGGAGGCTGATTCATAGTGGCGTTGGGAGGGGGAGCATAGGAGGATTAGACAGAAGAACTCGAGAAGGGCAAAAGGGTGGGTGGAAGGGGAGGGGAGGGGGAATGGGGGTAGAAAAGATGGTGGAAGGAGATGGATACCATTACCCTAAATACATGTATGAAGACACAAATGGTGTGACTGTACTTTATGTACAACCAGAGATATGAAAAATTGTGCTCTATATGGGTAATATGAATTGTAATGCATTCCACTGTCATATATAACAAGTTAGAATAAAAAAAATCAATTAAAAAAAAGTTTGGGTGATTAGAATTAAGAGTCTAAGGAAGCATTCTAACTTTGCTAACCTAAAACAGGTTCTATTTATTAAAAAAAAAAAAGAGCTACAAAAGACACTCTCACAACAACTAGGGAGATGTGGCAATGGATTAAATATTAGATAATGTGGATTTATTAGGTGTGATAATGGAGACTGTGGTTATGTAGGAAAGGACTCTTGCTTTTAGGAGATGAATGCTAAATAGACACAAATAAATCTTAAAATTTATTTTATAGAGATAAAGCAAATGCAGCAATATATTCTCAACTATATCTAAGAAGAGGTAAAAAGGTGTTTACTGTCCTAGTCTTTTAACTTTCCGTTACATCTAAGACACTTCAAACAGAAATTATTGGCAGAATAAATTTTTAAAAATTCATTGCATAGAGATTGATATAGTCTATTCTGTTTTGTACTGTGTGGGTCTTCTGGATTGAGAATGTAATTTTTGGAGAGAAAAATCTTATCATAGACAGACACAAACACACACAAGAATGCTTTAGAGCATTCTTTATTTTCACCTCAAAGCTAGTGCTATTGGTATGCAATATTTCAATGGGTGATTTAGGCTGTGCAAAGGCTTTAGGCAGCAGCATTATGAAAGATAAGTTTATACTTGAGAGCAGGCTCACTGCTACCAGACAGTACAATGTGTGGATTGAGACAGTCGGTCCCATGACTTCATATTTTACTTTATATATCACTTGTTAAAAGTATCTTGCCTATTCTTGGCAACTCCAAACACAAGGTTTTGTGATCTTCTTTTTCCTTAAGATTCATTCAGCTTTCCAACCTACTGCTGCTCCTGGGAGTCATCAGAGCAGTTTCATCTTAAAAATCCAAAGATATATTCATTACCCAGAAGTCATTAGAACTAGAAACAGTAAATCATTAACAGAGATCACTGGATATAATACAGTGATTATTTTTACTATATTAATTTTTACTATATTACTATAAATTTTAAGATTTATTAAAAATAAATACAAATATTAAACTGATATTACAAATTAAAACACAATTTTCCAAAAATAATAAAATATGTGCAATTTTATATGTATACTTATGGTTGGGAAAAAGGAAACCAGCCACTGACATTCCTGATCATTCTTTTAAACTATGGCTGCTAGGTTAACATATAAGCTGGAAGCAAAGAGGTAGCTTAGAGGAGGGTATGAACAAGACTAGAAAATATTAAACAATAGACTAACAACTATTACAGTCAGGGCTTAGATTTTACAGTTAAAAGTATATGGTTGTTTTTTTTTTGGGGGGGGGCAGTGCATAAAAGAACCAATAGTAAAGTAGGAAACTACCTTACTGAACGAATGAACACGTGGATTCAGTGAAATAATTCATACATTTGCCTTGCTTCAGATGAAGTAAGCACAAGGAAATGATATTTACCAGGGTTTGTCTTCTCAAGTTGATACCATCGGTAAAATGCTCTTTTCTTTTGTTCACTCAGGTCTGATCCCTGCTGCAGCAGCCAATGAGAGATCCGGCTCTGACTGATACCTATGTAGAGAGAAAAACAGCTTTTGTGGGGGGCAGTGAAACAACAGTGAAGCTACTGAGGGTTCTGGGTCACTGGGAGCTTTATTCTTAAGTGACTCTGTCAGGAGGCTGAAACTTGAGCAGAGTCCTCAACAGTGGTCTGACTGCACTGGCTAGAAMATACTCAGAAATTATCTACTAAAGGTTAAAAAACATTTTATTAGCCTAGACTTCACAGTGGCCCTCTAAAATTTATTTTCAAACCAGGTCCATAAAATATGAAATAAATGAAGAGATTCCTATGTTCCAGTTATTTGTCAGAAATTGATTACATTTGGGTGCCCTCCACCCACCTCTGGTTTAAAACTTTTAACAGATTCTGAGTGGGGAAAAAAATCAAGTCAGCAAGTTTTCCCATTTATTATTGATACTCGTAAAAAGATTTAGGTGCAGGGAAAGGAGAAGTCACTGAAAATACTGTCTTCAATAAGGTTTTTGGCTTATTTGTTAATTCATTTAGGCATTTTTAGACTCATTACCATTAGCATAAAGAAGTAAGAATTGGCAGACTTTTAGATTTATGCTGAWATATGACCTCTGAAGAAACCTCACTAGCTAAAAATGTTCTTCAAGCACATATAATTTCCCCAAATAAAGGAACAGAATATAGAAAAAAATAGTTTTCTGCTATCACCAGGAAATGCTTGACAGCAATTAGTTAGAAATGTGAAAAAAACTCCACATCTGAAAGTAAAAAAGCACATCTGAACCTTACTAGTATGAGAATTACATGCTTATTCTGGTTATTATAGATTCTCCAAAAAAATGCATAATTCAATATATAACTAGCAAAAGGAAAGAATATAAGGAAAGACAAAACTATATTACCTAAACTGGCYTTGAACTTACAATCCTCATATGTTAGCAAAAATTATGGACATGGAGYATATGGATCTCTGCATGTAGGGTAAAATAAGAGCCATTTGGGGAAATACTTGGACAGTATCCTAATGCTTAGTTTATACAAGATATGCTGAACAATGCGCTTCCTAGAAATGCCCACAGAAATGTATACCTATGCAATAGAAGTATGTTCAAAAGATGAGAAGGCTCATATATGAGCATTATCTATAATAGTCCCGATTCAGAAAAACTACATATCCATCAACAGTAGAAGGCATAAATTGTGACATACATGCATTTGACTTCTATATTAAATAGAAAAATGATAAACTACTGCTATCTGTAACCACCCAAAGAAACCTCACAAAAATAATATTGACCATAAAAAGTTAGACTCATACACAAAAACCCCATAGGCAACCAGGATTAAACTTATAAAAAGTAAAATAAAACAAAACAAACAAAAGCACACAACTAAGCTACAGAGATGATGGCCATCAGAATAATACTGGTTACCAATACAGATGCCTGGAGGCAGGATGAGGAAGGTTAGTATGTGCCCAACAGTGCTCTTTAACTTATCTGGAGTTGTGGTTATGTGGGTGCCTTCACTTGTTAAAAGTCATTAACCTGGACCCTATTCTGTATATGTATATTTAATTTTAAAGAAGTTTCTCCAAAAAGTTTAAAAAATTCTATATAGTTTCAAAAACTAAATTAAGTGGATATATATTAATATGGAAAAGCTGCTCATGATATAAGTAAAAAACTACACTTTTATGGATATATAATTTTATGTAATCTATATTCTATTTGGTATAGTAACAAATATGCAAAAATATTTGTATTTGGTACTCTTGTATTTGCATATTTATAACCAAATATGCACAAAAATTTAAAGTCGATCAATTTTCTAACATTCCTACGTCTATATTGCTTTCATAACCTTTTCCTAAATATGCATTCATTTAATCTTTAGCTTTTCACCCTAAATACTACATATTTGATTGTTTTATAAAGATTGCAATTAAGTTAAAGAGTTACAAAAAGAAGTTAATTTCTGCCTTTCTTATCCAATTCTACTCTTTTAGGTAAGCAATGTAAACTATTTAAAAATATATTATTCTTCAATTTTCTACATGTGTAATTACCAATTTAACAAAACAAAGGGAAAAAGAAGGTAAATGTACAGCAGCTTCCTATCCTCAGCTTTTGTATGAGGAGAAAACAAAGAATTTTCCTATAAACTTATCTCAGTTTTATATAAAAAATGTAGAAAATGAACTGTAAAGCAGGAGGTTTTTCCAAAAGAGACACTGCAAAAAAATTTTTAAAAAGTAGGATGACATATTTTATAATCATTTTTMTTAGTAGCCTGTGCAACTTTCCTTTAACTCATGCCTGTGAGACTGGTTTGGAACTTCAGTAGAACTTGGTATTCTGAGTTTCTTCAGCTTCTCTTTACCAGAAGCTTTGCTATAGCAGATATTTCCCTGACTTACCTGCTTCTTCCCATTGCTGAAGAAAATCTCTTGTTTTACCTCCTCAAATCCTTTTCCTTTCTACCTTTTACAGAGCAGAAAAATTTTATATATAATCTGTGTACATTGACTCAAATTAACCCTTGCTTAATTTTTTTCCAGTAAGAAAATAATCCCATTGTATTCACAAGAGGAAAACACTTTTATGCAAGCAACACTCACATTATTTTCTGAGTTAAACTCCTTTTCCAGTTGTACAAATACCAGACTCCCTTCCACTAGAGGGCTCTCCACCATAATCCATTCTCAAAGTGTAATACTATATTATAAATTTAATGTTTCATTTTTCTCTCACTTCCTGTGGAGTGTGACACAACTGACCATTCACATCATCTTCACTCTCGGAATACTGATACATCTCCTCCAAGGCAACTTGTCAGTGGCTTCAGGTGCTGCTCTGCTGGCTCCCCCAAGGGCCCCAGGGTTCCCGCTTTAAGCATCTTTTCTTACTCTATACATTATTCCTTTGGTTATTGCAATTATCAACAATTATAACTTAAAAATGTCATCTTAATATGTTCTGAATAACTTGAATTCCTTCATGTTCTGTTTTCATTCATTTCAAATTATTTTCTAATTTCCCTGTGATTTCTTCTTTAATGCACTATTAATTAACAATGTTTTCTGTTTGTGAATACCTCAAATTTTGTTGTTATTAATTTGTGATTTCTTATTAACTTCAGAGAATGAGCTTTGTATCATTTTAAGCTAATCTCATTACTTTTTCATGCAATATCTGAATTTTTAGGACATATTAAAATGACTTTTCCCTTACTTTGAGCTGTAAAGATTTTTATATTTTGGATGCTGTATTTTACTATTTATAAATCCATGCTTTATCTATATTATTTATTTGATCACTTAATTTCATTTTTCTATTTGGTGCAAGTAAGTGTCAAGGAATTTTGGTTTTGTTGTTGTTGCTGTTTAATATGGAAGTCCAATTCTTTTAGCATAGCATCAGTTGTTGGAAAGTCCTTTACCCATTGGATTACCTTGGCACCCCTACTTAAAATCAATCCATGTATGTGTGGGTCAATTTTTGAATTCAGTATTCTGTGCCATTTTTTTCTACATGTCCATTTTTATGCCAATATTACAGTACCTTCATTAATGTTAGTTTATGTAAATTTTAAATCAGAAAATAAAGAAATGCACATTGGAAAAAAACAATTAAAAAAAAGTTCACCATAAAATGAAATTTTAAAAGTCATACCAAAGACGTTCTGGGGACCAGACCTATTGTTTCAAACCATCTTATAGATAGCATCAATGAGAATTTCCCACAGGTCCTCAATATAGTAAATTTAATCCATTATCTTTTTTTCTTATTTTAGTACCAGGCATTGAACTCGGGGCACTCAACACTGAGCCACATCCTCACCCCTATTTTGTATTTTTTTAGAGGCAAGGTATCACTCAGTTGCTTAACACCTTGTGGCTAGCTTTGAACTCTGAATCCTCCTGTCTCAGTCTCCCAAACTGCTGGGATTACAGGCATGCACCACTGTGCCTGGCTTAATCCATTATCTTAATTCTTAATCTGCTCTTCTTCCTGTGTTCCCAGTGAAATTGATCTTCATTCTTCTCCTTAACTCTTACTTTGCTTACTATATCTAATCACTCGTTCTTCCTAAAATTCTGTGTTCTTTCCAATCTTCATTCCTGCAGTTTGGAATTTTAGCCTCTCTTTCCTAGAAAGTTGCAATAATGTTGATGAAAAGAACAAATCACATATGAAGCATGTAATTAGCTCCTTTTTAATCAGTAGATAAATTCAGTTTAAGAAGAAAAACATTCTTCAAGAAATTTTCTACTTGATAATTTATTTTCTGTACTGCAACCAAAGTTACATTTAAAATATTTAAGTTAAAACACAATGTCTGACMGGTACAGTGGAGCACACCTGTAATCACAGCAACATGGGAGGCTGAGGCAGGAGGATCTCTATTTCAAGACCATTCTGGGAAACTTAGCAAGACCCAGTCTCAAAATAAAAAATAAAAAGGGATGGGATGTGATTCAGTGGTAAAACACTGCTGGGTTCAATCCCTAGTACTAAATATATAGACAAACACACAAGAAACTATAAAAATTCAAGTAAGTCACAAACTTACAGGAAAAATTGTTCTCCCCAGCCTCTTAATATTCCCTATCCTACAGGTATCCTTATTTATTGGCGTAAATCCACCAATACTTTCCCCATGATGGAATACATAAACATACATGTATATACACACTTGCACACATAYATACACATAYATTTGGAGTTATATACACAATAAATAAGTAACTTCCTTTTATAATGTCCTAGAATTTTCTCATGTGGTAAAATATACATCTCATTTTAATGGCCACGTAACAGCTTATACATTCATTGATTAAAATACTTAATCTAAGATGACCATGGTGGCTCATTCCTAAATAATCTCAGCTACTTGGAACCTGAAGCAGGAGGATCTCAAGTTTGAAGTCTGCTTCAGCAATTTAGCAAGAACCTGTCTCAAAATAAAATAAAAGGAGCTGGAGATGTAGCCCAGGGGTTGAGTGCTTGCCTTAGCATGCACAAGGCCCCCA